ACGAAGTTTTTTCACCAGGGACACTAGATGAGTATTGTTTATTCTATACATTAGAGTCCTATGTAGTCACTTCATAGTTAGAGCCTATTTGTGTATGTGTACTGTGTTGTCCTTTATGTGCTGATGAAGGCTAATCGCCGCAACGTCCTTTGTTTGTTTATTGTGATCGATTTTGTAAAGCTAACATAAACTAATTAATTGTTGTTTATGTTTCTTACCAACTTTTTCATTTTCTCTTCCCTATAATTTTCTACTCCTTATAAAAAAATTTACAAAAATATGCACTTACTGTGGGCGCATAGTCTTCCAGCTGTAAAACAAAGTCACTGAGAGGTACACCTGCTGATTTCTCCAAGCTCTGCTGGTTCTCTTGTGAGTAAGTGTAAAACTCGGGTTTGTTTTCCTCTGCTCCTGACGCCATTTTGATTGTTCAATTAACGGATGTTGTTCAGAACTGCCAGGTAAACGTTATGATTTACAGCCAAATATTAGTAGAAAGAATTTTCTGGAAATAAAAAGCTAAACTAGTGTAATTGTTTCTCTTTGACAAATAACCATTAGGAATTCGGCTAAACAGCAAAAGCTTTCACGTATGAAGAGTTTTCTTCTTTTTTTACTTCTCTTTTTACTGCTTTGGATGTCACGGATGATATAAGGTTCTGCTTCTTGCTTTTCTAGCCACTTTGACAGTGAATACATCGGGCTGTTGTATAGTTTCTCTGCTGTCATCTTTCCTTCCTGTCCTTGGTCTACCCTCTTGTTCTTTGAGGTTAGCGTTGAGATGTAATCGTGTAGGCCTATCATGTTTTTGAAATCTCAAGCGTGAAGTTGTTTTGGTAATCTTCACTTGGTAGAGGTGTATGCCCATTTCCTCTCTCTTTCGGTATGCCTTGCATGGTATGATGTCGCACAGTACTCTCTCTCTCAGTGAACAAATCCCTGTATTTGCTTTCGTTGTATGCAGTTTAATAGTTGTTATGTGTTGACCTTTCCCCTTATGACTTAATTCCAGATTACATATCTTTTTAATTCCTGCAACATTTTTTCATACATCTCATTTAGATGGTCACTACTGTTATTTATTGGTTAGTTAGTTAGTTAGTTAGTTAGTTAGTTAGTTAGTTAGTTAGTTAGTTAGTTAGTTAGTTAGTTAGTTAGTTAGTTGGGTTATCCTCATTGCACTCCGGACATGTCCATAGGTGCTCAGATCCTCCCCTCAGTATGAACCCCAACGTCCGATGGCTAATACAGTTCTATGTTGATTAACAAGTCTTCTGGCGTGTCTGATGTGCGTCTCGTTTTTTGCTGTGATACGTCTGTATAGATTATTGCATCTGCTTCGTCTTAATTTTCACCGATGAGAGCGTTGACCTCTGCATTAACAGCAACAGGATTCTCTTCTCTACATCGCCTGTTGAGTGTGACAATTCAGAAAAATGTACAAATAAACGCCTGAGGCACAGGTATCCATTCTGCACCGGTATGGTGTCGGTTAGGCTGCATATTTGCCTAATAACATCTTCTGCCCGACCCAGCCACGATTTCCCCCTCTTCAGTCTGTCGCCCTTTTCACTAAAAAGCGCTTGATGCAGTGAGTGTTTCTTATCAACAAATATTTTGAGATATGCCCGAGCCCTCCACATCCTAATCCTTTGGTTCATTGTTGGAAAGTCAAGTAGATACCTCATTGCTCCACAGGATGTGTCTCTTGTACATCCCAAAATAGTGCGCATGGCCTCATTTTGCACCTTTTCGAGTCGTTCAATCTGGGTAGCACTAACAGTGAGGATGGCCAGAGCGTATTCAATGGGGGAAAGGATAAGACGGTAGAATAGAAGTATTAGTAGTCTTTGCTCAATATTGGAAGCAGCCATAATCCTCATTGCAGATAGACCTCTGCGTGCTTTTGTTATCACATGGTCAACGTGTTCCCTGAATGACAAGCTGCGATCGAACCTCACCCCGAGAAACGTCATAACGTTGGTTCTGATCAATAAATTATCACGCATTTTCACTTCTGGTAAGTCCGACTTGACAATGTGATTGTTCAAAGAGAACCATGACACTAATGTCTTCGAAGGATTGACATAGGCATTGGAACCATCACACCAGGCGGCAATTCGATCGAGTTCTTTGTGCATAGTGCTGGCGATCTCCTGTCTATCACGCCCTCGTCGATAAATCAAAATGTCATCAGCAAATGACAAAGTCCTTTCCTTTCCATTCAACTGCTGCTCAGTGATCATCACCGTATAAACGTTGAATAAGACTGGTGATAGCGGTGATACCTGTGGCAAGCCTGGACATATCGTTTGCGGTTCTGAGGACCAGCTACCACATCTCAGTACAATCTTTCTCTGGAACAGGACCGCAGCAATCCAGCGGATCAGAATAGGATTAACTTCTAGTTTAAGCAGTAATTGTATTAAATAATCATATGGTACTTTATTGTAGGCATCTTCTAAGTCCAACACTGCCGCACATGTCTCTTCTTTAATCTGAAATCCCTCAAACACATCGTAGGCGAAAACTGCAGCATTGAACCATGTCTCTTTATTTAACCTGTACCCTCCAAGTGTTGGTGGGAACTTATCATGTAGTTCCAAGTAGGTGGTCAATCTTTGTGCGACAATTTTTTCCAAAAGTTTGCCAACAGTATTCTGCATCGAGATGATTCTGTAGCCGCAGATCTTTGAGTGGTCTTTATTAGGCTTTGGTAGTGGGAACAAATAACTATGGAGCCATTCCTCTTGTATCTGGCCACTCTGGATGCTGATTTTGAATTCCTTTGCCACGCTTTTTAAATGAGCATTCGACATCATCAGCATGTCGTTGTATCGGATGCCGTCAGGGCCTGGAGCAGTGCTGCGCGATTTCTTGAGGCAAGTTCTTAAGGTATCTGCAGTGATTGTGAGATCAGTGCCTAGCACAGTGTTCTCGCACAGCATCGACAGTTTCATCTTAACCCCTATTCTTGTAGCTTCGTCTTTTGGGTCAGTTTGCTCCAAGTAGCGCGCCGGAAGGGTTTTTCCTTTATCAGCATCAGTTCTCTGCCATATCAGGTCTGTACCCTGAAAATCAGGGATACCCCTTGGTCGTGCGGCGCCGTGCATGCTCCGTTGAAGGCGCCAGAATGTCACAAGAGATCCCTCGGAGCAAACGCTCTTGCAGAATTTGTTCCATTTCGCTGTCTTAGCTTCCTTCGCAATTAACTTGAAAGCCACTGTCTGCTTGTTGACCTCATCTTTCAGACTGATCAGGCGTTCAGAAAGTGACGGATCAATTTTCGGCTCTACTGGCAAATCCGGACGAAGAATAAAAAGCCTTGGACGACTTAGTCAGAGTTCTCTCCCTTGGCCGCACTCCAAACAGTGATCGGAAAACAAACGAAACAAACGACACACTTACCTATCATCCTGCGGTTGCGTGTAGGGCTGCGTACGGTTGCGTGAGGCATCGTGGCATCATCATATGGTTGCGTGCAGGGTTGCGTACGGTTGCGTGAGGCATTGTGAATGGTTGTGTAGTCATCATCATGCGGTTGTTGGATTAGAGTTAGGGGTAGGGTTAGGGTTAGGGGTAGGGTTAGGATTAGGGTTAGGGGTAGGGTTAGGGTTAGGGGTAGGGTTAGGGGTAGGGTTAGGGGTAGGGTTAGGGTTAGGGTTAGGGTTAGATGTGAAAATTTTGACGTAGGATTTCGAAATACTGGCCGACAATATGATGTTTGTGGGAGTGGCGCCACTGAAACTCTGCCAAATATGACGCCAATAGCGTGCGGCTGGTGCCCCCAATCGTTGGCGAATTGTGCGTTTGACCAGCATCCAGAGGCCCTCGATTGTTTGTGTGTGTGTATGGGACTGTGCGCGATTATAGGGAACTCCGGCGTCAAAATTGTCAAATCTAACGCTAAACCTAACCCTACCGCTAACCCTAATCCTAATCCTACTCCCTAACCCTAACCCCTACCCCCTAACCACGCAAATTTATCGATCATTAAAGCATACAAATCGGCAAACACCAACAAACAAAACACACCCCAAAAAACACCCAGAATTGTCCTGCAGCGTCGAACAAAAACCCAGATCTGGGGGAAACAACCAAGCATTGGCAGCCCTGATGTCGACGTGACTGTCTTCTTTGTTTCGTTGTGGCTTTTCCAATCACTGTTTGGAGTGCGGCCACGGGAGAGAACTCTGACTAAGTCGTCCAAGGCTGTTTATTGTTCGTCCGGATTTGCCAGTAGAGCCCAACCCAGATCTGGGGGAAACAACCAAGCATTGGCAGCCCTGATGTCGACGTGACTGTCTTCTTTGTTTCGTTGTGGCTTTTCCGATCACTGTTTGGAGTGCGGCCACGGGAGAGAACTCTGACTAAGTCGTCCAAGGCTGTTTATTCTTCGTCCGGATTTGCCAGTAGAGCCCAATTTTCCTTGCCCTTTGCCATGCCTTGACAGCTTTCCTTTTTTCTAGCCAAGCCATGTTGACTACTTCATTCCACAATGGTGGCTGGGCCCATCTCTCCCGCCGTCTGCGATCTGCTCTTGTTTTATGTCGTCGGATTTTGCTAATGGCATCTTGCCCTGTACGGTCATATATAAAAGCAGGCACATTGATTACACGACCTTTGTTGTTGCTCTTCTCTACCAGGACGACGCAAGGAAAGTGATCACTGTCGTGGTATCCCAGTGTGCCCCACCTGCAATGGAGGGAGACACTAGGGCCAGGTCAATTACGCTGTCAGAATCCCCTTGTCGGGTTGCCATTCGGGTAACCTTTTCGTCGTTCAAGCATACTAGATTGGCAGACACTAGGGCGTCCTCCAGGTCTTCCCCCTGTTTATTAGTGATTACATTGCCCCACTGGTTTCCTCTGGCGTTGAAATCTCCGCAGTAAAGGACTTTCTTTTCCTCCGCCTGGTTTGTTGCTGTGATTCAACTGGAGAAGTAGCTCGCATTTTGAAGGTCGTGGATTCGTTTCATGACTGTCTCGTTTCGTTTTCGAATGCTGTTTTTACAGAGATCCTTGTGGATCATCGCCCAAACTACAGGATTCATGCATTGTGTGAACTCTTGGACAGTGGGTAGATTTCTGCGGAGACAGACAGACCGGACTAAATTGGTTAAAACCTTGTACAGTGAAGTCGGTTCTCCTGAATCTCTCTTTAACTGATACGTTATGATTAGTAATAGTATAAATCTTCACAAAAATGTATTGTTCACCCTCATGGCTATAACTGGGAAATCCCCTGTGTGTGTTCAGGGGCTCCACTGTGGTGAACACAAGAATAGTCTCACTGCCTCCCCAACAAGCATGTCGTAAGAGTCGACTAATTGTGGGCTTCCTTCGAAATCGAAGCATCTACTCGAGCAGCAAGAAACAACCAAATGCGCACAAATAAGCAAGTTAAACAGACATACACGCA